GATCAAAAGGGAACGTGGCCACACTTCCCCTGCCCACTTGGGCCCCCAGGAGCCTGCTGAGAGCTGGGGCCTGATCCTCTGCCCACCGAGGCCCCCTCCTGCTGCGGGTCCTGAGGGAGTGGGAGGGAGGGAAGGGGGAACAAAAGTAAAGGCCGGACCTCCTGGACCGGCATCCCTGAGGGGCAGCAGGGGGAGGGAAGGAATTCCTACAGCCAGCGGGACCTACCCACGGTTAGGGGTCCAGTGACGACGGGGGAGACCCTGGGTGAGATGATGGGTGAGGGGTGCAAAGGACTGGAAGGGAACGTGGCCAGTGCTTTCCCTGTCCACTTAGGCATCACACCACGTGCTCCTGGGCCGAATGCTCTGCCCTCGGAGCCTCCCTCCTGCTGCACAGAGTCCAGGCCCCGCCCCTACACCCCCACCCAGGGCCCCATCTCTACACTCGGAGACATTTGCGCACTCCAACTGCGCTAAGCGTGAAACCCACCCACACACCCTCACTCAGGGCCCTACTGCCAAACTCCGGAACCCCACACTCCAGAGGACCTCCTTTCCACGTGCTGCCTCTCCCCTTCTGCGCAGGTCCTAAGCAGAGGCCCTGCCCCACATTCAAACGTCACCCCGCCACCTGCTTAAGTCCCGCCTCACCCTAAACCCCGCCCCTGCCTAAGTTCCACCCCCCCATCCCCGCCTAAACTCCACCCCCATAGCCAAGGCTTTTTTTTTCTTTTCTTTTTTCCTTTTTTAGATTGGATTTTGTTTTACCTTGTTGATTCATTGTTGTTGATTCTTTTATATTTTTATTTTTCCTAATCTTTTATTTTTCTGATTTTATTTTATTCTTTATACTTTATTAGTGATCCCTCCTTTTGGTTTGTTCTTCCCCCTCCCCCCTTTTCTGTTTTCTTTTTTCTGTTGTGGTTTTATTTCACCTTGTTGCAGTTGTTTCAATTATAGTTTTATTTTTCCTAATTATTTTTTATCTTTCTAATATTTTGTTTTTTATTCTTTGATATTGTACTGCTCCTTTTTTTCTTTGTTCCTTTTTTTTTAACTGTGCCATGAAGCTTGTGGGATCTTGGTTCCCAAGCCTGAGGTCAGGATTGTCTGACAACCCCTCAGAGTCCAAGCTAACCTGGCCAGACTATCACCCAAAAACTGGGTTTGCCTCTTGGAGGGTGTCAGGTCAAAAGCCACAACAAAACCAAAGACCAGGAGAAGGAAGGATTTATTACTTGGAGCAAGGAGAACACTGAGGTTCTTTCCCAAAGCAGTATCTTCCTGAACAGCAAAATTAGGGAATTTTTAAGCTAAGCATACACGCATATTCATGAATGGGCTTAGGTGGTAGGTAGAGTCCAAGCTTTAGATGATTGAAGTCATGAGGGTCAGAAAAAGTCAACCCTATCATCCTTTAGATTCCAGTTGATCTGGTGGTTGAGCACCTGAGGGGGCATTTAAATTTTGCGAAATAGCTCAAGATGGTGCTTCAGGCTAGCCTTTACCATTGAAATAGAACTGGGAGTCTTTACAATTTGTTATCTTTGCTATTGTTACTTCTTTTGCCTAAGTTTGTCCTTTTGTTCTCTTAAGATCATTATTACTGAGACCTGTTCAAGGACAAGTACTGTTGCCAGGCTCAGATAACAAAATGGCTTAGGCCAAAAATGGCTTCTCTTATGTCAAGAAAGCCATGCCTGGTTCTCTTTCAACAGGGATCCCCTACCCTATCTGCTTACTGGACAAGATTAACTGCACAGTTCTTGAGTCATTCCTCCTCCCCTGTTGAGATGGGGACAGAAGCTGATTTGTTGGGTGAATGCCACTCACTTCTTCAAAGGGACACTCCAGATCAAGATGTCTGGAGTAGCCTCTGAGTCTGATAAGTGAGCTGAGGTGCATGGACCTGACAACTCAGGCACCAAGAGGGATTCTCCTATGCCCTTGCCTGCAGGACCCCAGCAACATAGAGCTGGGAGAACCCAAAGGGGCTAGGCGAGATGTCCCTGCGTGGTTGCCAAAATTTTTACCAAAAAACTGTATTGACCTCTTGGTGGGGGTCAAGCCAACAGATACAGCCAAGCCAAAGATCAGGAGAAGGAAGGATTTGTTACTTGCAGCAAGTAAGGAGAACACTGGGGATCTTTCCCAAAGCAGTGTCTCCCTGAACAGCAAAATTGGCAAAGTTTTTGTTGTTGTTGTTTTTTGTTTGTTTTAATATTTATTTATTTTGGCTGTATCGGGTCTTAGTTGCAGCATGCGGGATCTTTGCTGTGGCATGCAGGATCTTTCGTTGCAGCATGCAGGCTCCTCATTGAGGCACGTGGGCTTCTCTCTAGTTGTGGTGTGCGGGCTCTAGAGCATGCAGGCTTAGTTGCCCTGCAGCATACGGGAATCTTAGTTCCCTGACCAAGGATCAAACCTGCATCCCCTGCATTGGAAGGCAGATTCTTAACCACTGGACCACCAGGAAAGTCCCAAAATTGGTGACGTTTTAAGCTGAGGGTACATGCATATTCATTCATGAAGGGGCTTGAGCAGAGAATTCAGCATACAGTTGGGGATTGACAGAGTCCAAGCTTTAGTTGATTGAAGTCACCAGGGTCAGAAAAGGTCAACAGCATCATCCCTTAGGTTTCAGTTGATCTGGTGGTTGAGTGCTCCAGGGAGGTTTAAATTCTACAAAACAGCCCAAGAAAGTGCTTCAGGCTAATCTTTACCATTGAAGCAGAACTGGGAGTCTTTACAACTGATATATTACCTTTGCTATTGTTACTTCTCTTGCCTGATAACAGTCATTTGCTCCTGCATTCTTTTGTTCCCTTAAGATCATTAATTACTGAGACCAGTTCAAGGACAAGCGTTGTGTCCAGACTTAGATCACAAAGTGGCTTAGGCCAAAAATGGCTTCTCTTATGTCAAGAGGAGCCATACTTGGCTGTCTTTCTCCGGGGACCCCTTACCCTATCTGCTTACAACACTAGACATCAAAAATGAAAATATAATGTGAAAAAAATCCATATTTATTTACAGATAAAATGATTCATGCATTGATAACAAAGAAGGAGCAATATGATTGCTTTATGGTAGCCTAGTGTAATTGATACTATTGCTTCACTGTAACTTAGCATATACCCACATGAATGGTTATACCATTTTTATGGCATACAGTATTACAGTCATATTCATACTACAGTATTAGAAACATTGTTATTTTTTTTTAAAAACCACATACCCGTGATGATAGGCAGATATGCAGTTTCTCCAGTTACAAGAGAGAGACAGAGAGACAGAGAGAGAGGGAGGGAGAGAGAGGCATAGTATATGGTCATGTAATTCTTTGAAAGCAAATTTATGAAACAGTAAGAAAACTAAAATTAATTTCGTATTAAATATCACTCACTTCATGCTTACGTATGGATAGGCTATCTACTTCAAGTCTTGCACAGGATGTTCTATATGTATATTTTTGGATATTTATTGAAAAAAAATCTGCATGTTAAGTGGACCCATGCAGTTCAAGCCCATGTTGTTCAAGGGTCAACTGTACAGAACACATACTATAATTTACCAACATGACTTAAACCTTCTTTGATAACTCAGAAGGCCCTCCAGGATCACACATTTCTTCAAGCTTATTATTATGTGTTTTATCTCTGGGGATGTTTAATATAGGCCAAGTGACGAAAGCAGAATTCTGTAATGACTGGAAGACAGAACTTGATGTCCACTGACTCATTCCAATTCTAAGTCTATGTGCGTGTGTCTTAAAGTCAAATATAGAAGTGATCCCATTTATTACTACCTAAAAGAAACACCACATCACAGTGCAATTGTTTATGAAAATAGGTTACAAATAAGGAGTGTTAACCAGCTTCTGATTATAAACCTTAACCAGGGCAAGGAATGTATCTTAGAGATTTTTGAAAAGGTAGGCTATCATTAATTAGTACCATTAATATGTTATTACCAGCGGCCTCCCCTGCCCCCGTCGGCCGGGGTGCTCTAGATGCTGCACGGAGACCCCCTGCGCCCCTGCGAACATGGCGCTGGAGCGTGCGGGCCGCGGTCTGCAGCCTGCGTGCGCGCCATCGCTGCGCCCAACGCGCCTTGCTCCCCGCTGCCTTGGGTACTGCGGACGGGCGCCCTCGGGGCAATGCGCCCCGGCCATAAATTCACAAACATGAATACGTAACAACAGAAAACAGTGTTGGAATAGTGCGAATCAGCAATTTTGCATAGGAAGCTTTGGGAGATGTTGTTTACTGTAGTCTGCCTGAAGTTGGGACAAAATTGAACAAATGAGGAATTTGGTACTTTGGAAATTGTGAAAGCTGCTAGTGAACTCTATTCTCTTATCAAGAGAAGTAACTAAAATTAATGAAACTCTAGCAGAAAATCCAGGACTTGTCAACAGATCTTGTTATGAAGATGGTTGGCTGATCAAGATGACACTCAGAAAGCAGAAACTAACACACCATTGTAAAGCAATTATACTCCAATAAAGATGTAAAAAAAAAAAAAAAAAAGATGACACACAGTAACCCTTCAGAACTAGATGAACTAATGAGTGAAGAAGCATATGAGAAATATATAAAATCTATTGAGGAGTGAAAATGGAACCTCTAAATATACTAGTGTGAAACAAACAAAAATATGTTATTACCATTATTTTATTAAAGCCTAATCATCAGATTATAATCTACTAATTAATGCAAACGTATTTACCATTATGTGCCTGATATATGCCAAACCCTGTGTTAGTCATTAGGGATACAATGTAAATATAATTCATGCCCTCCAGAAATTTAAGTAATTCACCTTTAAAACCATTTTATTGTGCAGATCATTTTACAGAACTTTAGATGTCACTGTAAGAAATTAGCCTGGGAGTGATGGGACTGTCTAACACATCCTGTAACTCACTCAAAATATAGAATAATAGAAAACAAAGAACGCGAATGTTAGCTTAATTACTTAACATTCGCCTTTTTTTCCTGAAAAACACAGCATCCAGAATGTTCCTTTAAGGATCTAGTCTTTTGCACTTTCAGAATTCTGGGTGAATTTGCTTCTGCACATAAAATGATTTTCATTTCAGTTAGTACAATACCTGTCAGTCCCCCAGGACTTGAGGGTAAAGCCCCAGGCAGGAAGGGAACAGCCATCACATTGCCCCCAGCCCTTGGCTGGCCTTTCTTTGGGTGTGATGGTGACAGAGGCAGCATGAGGGAGCCCTGCCCTGGGAGTCGGGAGAAACCAGGAGGCAGAGACAGGTGCTCTCAGTCCAGTGTGTCAGGCACTCTGCTAATGGATGCCGCCTTGCTTCTGGACAGCTTCTTGTAAACATGCTGATTCTCATCGTGACAGGAGGACTTTACAGCTTAGATCTTCATGTCTAAAACGAAGGGTTGAGGTTACATCAGAGTTTCCCAAATTAAATTCCGCAAAACACAGGTCCCATAAGACGTTTCTTCAAAAAGCAGCCTGGGGCAGCAGTGTTGGAAAAGCTGCCCACCACACCCAGTGGTGGAGAGTCACAAGGCACAGCAGCATATGAAGGGTTCGGAGAAGCTGTACCTTCAAAACACTTTGACAGCAGCATTTCTCAAACGAGTTTGACCATGAAACCCTCTCTTCTAGTTTCACCTACTAACATCTGCTGATTCACTTAGTATCCTGAGGTACAAACTTTGGAAACATTAGAATAAACGATCTCTTAAACGCATTGATTTTATAGCATCTTAAAGCAGAAAATAGTCTTAGACATCAGAGGGCCATGAGGTTAAGATCTCATAGCTAGTCAATGGCCAAACTAGGTCCCTTTCAGTTGCCAATTTTTCACATTCTATGTGCTAACAATCGCAGTGAATGAAATTTTACTGTGAGGAAGTTTAGAAAAAGCATCAGTAATTGAAATCTACAGATAACCTTAAAGCTCCAGGGTTTCCACTTTTGGTAAAACTCTGTTGTTTGAAGTTACTCCTGATGAAGCAAAACTAATGGTGTATGTCCATAGGCTGGTGGAGATGCTACTGAGCAGAGAATTATCCACAATTCAAGAAGCTAATGAGAATGGGGGAAAGAGAAACAAACGGCACTGAGTCCAAAGCCAAGGTAATTAGCTCCTGGGTGACTAAGAGTAAATTATCTTTTTTTTTGATACTGAGCTCAAGGAGATCCTTGGCTTTTTTTTTTAAGTACTGAGTCATATATTCCTTTGGTGTCAGAACTAAGAAAAGAGAACCGATGCTTGCTACACTGACCTCAATGTCCTGCGCTCTGGTAGTGTCTCCTTAATGCCAACTCAGAAAAGCCTCACACATCACTTCACAATGGTCTTTGCCTCTACTTAAAAGGACAAATTTTAGGCTTCAATTTCTTTTCATGCTATTTGCTTGAAAAGAATTCTTTAAGTTGGTGGCTAAGTAAACAACAGTATTCTCCTAGCAGTGAATTGGCTGTCCCACAATCCCAACTGTAGTATAGCCTAACCCCAAAGTAATTAAAGAATCAAGTGATTTGCATTCTTTGTCTATAAAACTACTCTTGAGTAGCAGATGGCAAACACAAATGATTTGCTCTAGAGACATATGGAAACCTCTCTGTTTCGTAAAAGCCTCAATGAATATTAAACGCCGAGTGATGTCACTCACTGCAGAAATAAAATGTTGTGATAATCCCCAAAACAGGCCTAATTAGGCCATACAGCTACTTGAGTTTCAGAAAGTAATAGGAGGGAAATTACTATGTGATTGGGATTTCATTAACAGTTCTTCTTAATCTGAATATTCATCCTGGCCCCAAAGAATTACCTATTCAGCCTTATTTCTTCAGCATTCTATTAGATTGTACCATAATTTATAATTGTAAATCTTAAAAATGAGTAATCAAAGAGATCTGCTTGATTTCATGTTAACTCTTCAGTTCTGCCTGAACAGCAAGAGCAAAAATTTCAAGAGAGATAGGGTGTTTTATCACAGGTTTGGGAGCATTCACCGTGCTCCCTGATAAACTCTGTTTTATAAGCCCTTGCTGCTGTTAAATTGGTGGTGGGAGTGAAATCTGTGTTTAAGGTTATTCAGGAAATGATTATCCATATTAAGCAGGAATTGGAGGCAGGAATCTGATTGAATATGGCTCAAAATACAAAGGAGAATTTCATTTTTCTCTTCATCCTGTAGATTGGCAATCCAATAAGTTGTTGGCAACCCAGTAACTTGTTCTCGTCACAGAAAGGACTGAAACTTTGCACTCCTTGGAAAGAGAGAAGTACTGATAACTGAGTCATAGGGTGAACTGAATGCTTTTTAGAATAAGGAACTAGGTGTCTTGGGCTCCTTTCCAGCCCCACACTCTGCCTGGCCTCCAAGGCCTCCTAGGCCTGTTGATGAATCTCCTCAATTCACTAGGGTGTTTAGTTGGCCTTGGAGACCGAAGTCTGTAAGACCAGAACCCCTAAGGCAGATCTCAGGATATCTGTTAGGAGCTTGGGTTCAAGAGCCAAAGGATTTTATAGACAGAAATGGATTCTCTAGTCCAGCCTCTTTCATTTTACAAATGAGGAAACTGAGGCACAGAAGGGTTGTTGTCCTTCTTTTAGGTCACAGAGCTAGTTAGGGGCAGAGCTAGGAACGGAACCCAGGTCACCTGATGCTTTGTCCAATCTTCCTTCCATTTAAAAAGTCCCAGGACAGGCTTGTCAGGGCCTGATAGAGAATTTAGAAAGTTCAAGGCTATCAAAGTGTTTAACCTTACCTGGTTGCTGAAGTGGGGTAGAAAAGGGACCAGGTGTCTAAGTGCCTGTGTTAATTCTAGCTTTGGACCACCCATCGCCTCCTCAAGGAAACAGTATTTCTCTCTTGCCTCTTCTTTCCAGTTCAACATCAATCCGTCTGTTTAAGAGAAAGACAAGTCAGAATTTTCCTGGATTCAGCCCCATGACCTCTCCAGAAATTTCAACATAACTGAACACGATATGAATATCTATATGCATTTGACACTGAAACAGGTTATAGTTTTCATTGGTTGCTTCTACAGCATTGTTGCCTCCTGTCTTCTCTATTTCTAACAGGATCCTGTGATTTAGGGTGAGTTTGACCCCGTATTCAGCTCGAATGACTTAAGCCAGTTGGCTTACGCCATTCTCTTGGACCCTAGGATTGGTTCACGGAAGGGCAGTCAGGGCCCATGGAACTGAATTCTAGGGTATTTATTTGAACTCCTGAGAAAGAGGATTCTTTACATTCTGCTCTCTTTGAATCTAGGTGTCCCAGGAGTTTCAGCAAGACATTTTGCAACCACATGAGGCCAGGCTGTTGAAATCAGTGTTACTTTGAGGAAGCATTGCTAAGAAACCAAGAGAGAGAAACCAGGTCCTGGGCATGTCATTTGAGCTGCTGGATCACTCACCTGTCGCTAGTTCTAGATCTGATTATTTTAGTATATGATTAAGTAAATATTTTTATTATTTAGCATTTAGTATTCTATTATTTACTGCCACACGTATCTCAATACCTCTTATGATGCTGATTGTGAGTTTCATAACATCTTGACTTTGCCATTGGATCAAAGTCCATTTTAAAGTTGGTTCCAAAAGGCTTTCTTTAATCACTCATTCTAACAAGAAACTCTACCCAAAGCACATAGTACTTACTGTGTATGTGCCTTATTTGACACAAAATGCTACATAGCGATGCCCAGGCTAATGAAAGGAACGAATTTCACTAACATATTTTATTGTCAAAAACTTTATTATTAGAGAAGGAAATAATACAAGTGTATTAGAATAGATTCCTTCCAATCCACCCTATAGTAGAGTAAATTTCATGTAGCCATTTTTTGGTATTATCATGTCATTTTTATTTAATTTTTACATTCAGTGGAGATATGCAAAATATTTAACAGTTTGGCATAAGCACTTGACCAATCAGATTGGATGTCTGACCAATCCGAATTAAAAGCCAACCAATCAGAACAGACACCTGACCCATCAGAATAGATGAAGTGTGTGTCTGCCAGGTATCTGCCTCCCATTTATCATTGAACTTTTCGCTTGTGGGATCTCCCCTCAATTACCTGGGAAACAAACTGAGGGCAGGGACCACATGACAGATACCTTTGCATGCTCCAGGTAGGCCTTGCTGAGCTGGTTTCACAGTGTGAGTTTGTTTGAGTAGACATTATTCAACCAATGATTGCTCAGGAAACATCAGTGGGTGGAAAGAGTGCAGTGTGTCCCTCTCTGATGAAGATAATTGTAGAATTATCCCACTGGATTATCACTAAACAAATAGCATGGTTTGGGATGACAGACAGTTGATAAGAGAAATTGGTATTTTTGAGGAGTTATCATTCAATATGGTCTTGACAAGCTAGAGAAATAATGTATAATCACACTGATTTTTTAAATACAACAATAAATAGTATACTTACAAAATGAATAACATATAAATAGAAGGTAAAGTACAACCAGAAAAGTATTGGTGAGGCTAAAAATACCTAGGTCTTATAGCAAATAATAAACTGAAGGTGTCCCAGAAGGTACCTAGACTGGGGACTTCCCTGGTGGTCCAGTGGTTAAGACTCCGTGCTTCCATTGCAGGGGGCACAGGTTCTTTCCCTGGTCAGGGAACTAAGATCCCGCATGCCATGCGGTGTGGAAAAAAAACAACAACAACCTAGACTTCTGGCATGATAGTCAGATGTTCATTCATTCGTTCAACAACTCAGTACCTACTATGTGTAAGGCATCATTCTAGGCATGCTGGCGACACAGAAATCAGCAATGTCCCTTTCCTCAAAAGGCTCAAGTTTTAAGGGAGAAGACAAAGAAGTACACAAACTTTAGATAACAGAGAGAGAACTTATTCGATGACTGAGTCATCAGTCATTGAAAATAATCACCATGAAGGACATCTCTGTAGCCTACCAGGACAGCTGTGCTCAACAGATGGCAGAGGACCAGAACCCAAGGGTGGTTGGACAGAAGCATCAGCACTGATGGGTACAGACTGACAACCAGAGGTTGCTTTGTCCCTAATTTTTCAGGACCATATAAGCACCTGGATTCTTGTAGGATACAGTTAAGGGGAGGACAAGTCTCAATAATGTTTGGTACCAGTTTTGCCAGCCCTTGAGGAATAGGGGTCTCAGCCAAGTTTAATTTCACTTAAGCAGTTAAGAAAGGTGACATTTCTCACATTCAAGTGTCATGGAACAATTTAAACCAGTTAAGGAATGCTTGAATTAATTTGAAAATTTGCCTAGAGAACACACAGACCCTCAAGAATGTGTTTGTAGATTCTTGGGGGTTAAAGACCCCCAGGATGAATAAACTACTGTAAAAAGTGAATAATGGCTCTTGGAATTGTGCAACATGGCAGTCCTGCTTGCTACCATGAGAAAAGCCAGACTGAGGACAAAGTAACCATATAGAGGAGGGCAGCAACAAGATAATACAGGAAAATGAACTACATTCTGATCAACCAGCCTGAAGCTCACGAAGACCTCACATCAGCGAGAACTCCTTTCATCATCATCACCCCACCTTCCTAGAAAATTCACGTGTAAGAACTCAGTTTGACCTAGCCTGGCCATATGCCCACCTCTGTGGCTGAAGGAATAAAGTACCATGATTCACAGCCCCCAGAGGGGGAGGAGTGGCTGCCCCAAAGCAGGAGGAACAGAGTACTGGCCTGACAAAAACCACAGAGGGTAAACTCCTTGGACAGCTAGATTCCTGTTAAGTCAAGCTGCCATGTACATGTTAAACTTATCAAAGGCTTCAATAAACATTTACAGAATTAAATTGAAAGTGCTGGTCTGCTTAGTATCTGCAGTGACATAGCATTTTAAGAGTGGGTTTGGGCAACTGGCAAAAAAGTATTGATGCGGTTTTCTCAGAACATAGTAACGTGCCACTGGTAGAAAGAAAAGAAAGTGGCAGCCAGCAATCTGTGATCTGTGGGACCCTTAGGTCTACAAATACACTTATTGTCCAGTCTTTCGAGCAAAGTGCCTTGATTCAATAATAGTTACTACCACCCAAATCTGATCTCTAAGTAACATGTTGTTATATAAAATATGAAAATTCATAATTCACAAAAGGAAAAAAATTGGATTCTTCTTGAAGTAGTGTCAGTATATCAAAATGCTTGAATGGTTCAACAGTGGTATAAAGACTGATCAGCTAGAAAGTCCCAAATGTTATACACACTTGCTAATAGAGAAAAGCCAGGGAAGTGAAAACAAGACAAAAAAATTTTTAATTCCCATCAGTTAACAAAATTCCCCTAAGGAAACTTAGGGACTTTAAGATTCCTAACCCTAGCTTCTCTTATGAACTTAAGTTCTTTGCCACATCAGCGTGTTCTTATGCATACAGAGAGAGAATGCCAGTAGTTGCATGCAGGTAGTGGAACTAAAAGTTATTTTAATCAGTACACGTTTTACAGAAGAAAGAGGATTCCAGTGGTCTTTGAAGATTTTTTTCACTTCTTTTCCAAATGGAGAGGAAGGTGCTGTCTACGTTTGTTCAGCCCTGGCTGAGGCCAAGTTCACAGACTTGCCCAAGAACTGTCTGGGACAAGGAGGCTCAGCCTGTGCCAGAGGACAGAATCCCTCCTCATTAGGGGATAGAAACTGTGACTCTGACCTTCTTAGAGATCTGTTCCCATCAAGTGGACTCTAGAAATTAGACATTAGATTAGCAGCAACCCTCTGGGTACTGTAAGAAGTGTGAGTTAATGACACATTTTATCTTTTTTTTTTTTCACAATAGAAGGTGAAAGCAGCTCCTAGGCCCAACTGAATTTTCTCGTCTTTCTTGTCTCGCAACAAGACGAAGAATGGAATATCACTGGCATTGAACATAAAGTCACAAGGCACACAAGATATGTTTTAGAAAAACCTGCTATCTTGTTCAACTAACTGTCCAAGTTTTCTCCTTAGTCTACTAATGGTTGAGTCCACTGGTTCCCTTAATAACCTTCTCTAACCTTCCAAAAGGTGTTTCCTTAGACCTAAGAACCATAGACTGTGGTTCTCATATGCTTTGGCCTCAGGAACCCTTAATCCTCTTAAAAATTATTGAGGACTCTAAAAAGCTTTTGTTGGTATTTGACATGTTAAAAATTACAAGGGAGAAGAGATGAGAGACAGAGAGCCCTGAATGGATAGAGCTTCTGGTCCCAGACCTCCTTAGCTATTCGCTTGCCCTTCCGCTTTACCTGAGCCATTAAATCCCCCTTTCATGAGAGCGTGATATGGTTGGGTTTCTGCCCCTAGCGACTGAAAGAGGCCTGAATCATACATCCACAAAACAAAGAATAATCTAAGGCAAGAAATAAAGGATTAAATTGAGTATAACAGAATGCTGCTTTCCCCCCATTTGTTATCCATAAAAGTGAGAGCCTACAGAGGGTTGAAGAAGGTAAGCATCACCACTAACATTTTTCTACATTGCCTTAAGGATTTCAGAGTGCTTTCACATTCAGTATTTCACTTAATTTTTCCTACAACTTTATGAAACAACTTGTTTTATACCCATTTTACAGATCAGAAAACTGAGGTTCAGAAAGCCTATGTGCTATTAAGCAGCTGAGCCAAGACAAAATCCAAATCTTATCCTCCAGATTCCCACGGTCATAGTTCCTGCCTCGCATGAATGCTTGCAGTTTTATAGGGCACAGGCCTGCAGCACAAGCCTTGAAAATTTCAATTCCCAGACTTTTTGTCCATCTTCCTGCGGGAGGAGATGAGCGGTCTGCATAGCAGATCCTCTAAAATACCCACTGTATTTCGCTCTGCTCTGGAGGCGTGAAGAAGAGAACAGGAGTGGGGTTCAAGTGAGAACCGCAATCATTCTTTTCGAGCTCCGTAACTGACGGGCTGCGGGAGGGGGCTCAGACGTGGTGCTGGGCAGCAGCTGGAGGAGAAGCCAGGTAAGGCACTCTGCAGATAATCCACAGCCTGCGCCAGGGCAGCTAGAAGGAAAGAAAGCATCTCAGCTGCGGGTCGCGGTGGAAGAGATGCGGGATCGGCTGGACTCAGATTCCGAGGTCCTGGATTTGAAAGGCACCAGCACACAAAGAAACGACGAAGTTAAGTTCCGGTGGTAGGAAACGCAGAGTTGGAAACCGGCCCTCCCTGCCTACCTCGAGTGGAAACGCCTAACCCCCGATCACCCAGCCCAGAGCGGCTCTTCTTTTATCCTTTGGGGCCGCGGGGACAGCCTGCCCCGGGCACGCCCGAAGCTCCTCAAAGGAACTACAAGCCCCACCAAACACTGGGGCGCGGGCGGTGATGACGAAGCCTCCGCGGATTGGCCATGCGGGGCGGGGCGCGCAGGCCTTCTTTGAGGAAGGGGGCGGGGAGAGGGGCGGGGCGAGCGGCGGCGGCTCAGCGGGCACGCCCCCTCGCCCGCGGCCCCCTCCCCGCCTCTCTCCGCCGCTCCTCGCGCTCCGCGGTCAGAGGGCCGGAGCGAGAAGATGGCGAAGACGTATGATTATCTGTTCAAGCTGCTGCTGATCGGCGACTCGGGAGTGGGCAAGACCTGCCTCCTATTCCGCTTTTCCGAGGACGCCTTCAACACCACCTTCATCTCCACCATCGGTGAGGGAGGGGCCGCGGCCGGGGACGGGGAGTGAGAAATGGGGAGCGGGTGCGAGGGGGCCGGGAGAGAGGGGTGGGAGGGCTTGGGAGCCCCAGGGAAGGGACCCCGGGGACAGCAGGGCTGCGAGGGCAGTGGGAGAGGGTGAAGGCATGAGGGAGGGGGGGCCGGTGGGGACGTGAGGCTGGGGGGGCGGGCGGTTGAAAGGAGGAACTTGGGGGCAAAGGAAGGGGAGGAGGAACCAGAAGAACAAGGACTAGGGGTGTTGAGAGGGTTGGGGGTGTGACAGGGAGGGGTCTTAGAGGGACAGAGTCGGGGGGACACAGGAAATCTCATGGAGAGAGAGAAGGGAATAGTGGGTGTGAAATGGATTAAAAGAGAGGAAAGAGGAAGGAAATGTGAAGGGGGAAATGAAGGGTTGGGGGAATGGGAATGGGAGGTCCGTGAAGTAAAGGACAGAGGACACAAGGGACAAGAGAAGTGAGAACCCGGGAATCCGGAAGGAGTTCGGAGGAATGAGTGATCAGGAGGTAAGGGATGAGGGGCACTGGCTACAAGAAGTCTGGTCATAGATATCATGGGAGGGGGCAGAAGAAAATTGCAGGTAGAAGATGAGTTCAGGGAGCCAGAGGATGGAATGAGGATACTTGGTGGAGAAAGTAAAGGAGAGCTGGCTGTGAAATAGAAAGGAAAAAGGGAAGCAGAATACACAGTAGAGAGGTTGAGCAGAGAAGAGAGAAGATGGGATAGGGAGAGGAAATGGAAAGTAGGACTTTCTCCAGTAACTGGGAGCACTGGTTACCATTTCCTCTCTCTTTACTCCCTTTGGATCAAGTGCAGGAGAAAGAGCAAAAAGTGACTAATAATGAGATACGGTGTATGGAGCATTAAATTGTTCTGTGAGTGTTAAGGGGTGTTAAGAGGATGGGTGACTTTGGGAATGGTGTGGTCAGGAAAATGTGGTTCATTCCTTTACTATCTCCTGTGCCACAGCACTTCTCAATTTTTAAAGTTCTTAGCCTTGAAGGTTTAATAATCCTCAGCTGGGGAATTGATCTTACATTCTGCCTGCCTCCCTGTATATTTTCCTTTGGTTTTAATTATTACTTGCTAAACGAATCACAACATGCAATATACCCCTCAGTTACTTTCAATTGATTCTGATTTTTCTGGTCTTGGCTGGGAGCTGTCCTTCCTACTTTTGGAAGACTCTGGTCAGGTAACAAGATCTCTAAACGTAAACCTAAAGAAGAGCAAATCAGAGCTGGTTTTAAGCTGCCTGTACAAGTGATCTTAACATCATTTCCCTTGTTAAATAGCTGCTGTTAATTAAGGCCCTTAAGAATCTTAGCTCTTGGTTGTCTGGATAATGTCATGGCTTCTCATAGCGGCTCACTTAAGCATCTTTCAAATGGTTCTTACAGCATATTTCGCCATGAATTGCTGGGATTATTAGGGGGCTAGTGCTATGGTAATGAGTTATGTTTTAAGGATAGTTTATCATTTATAAAAGAAGAATATTGGGGTGTAGAGCACTCTTCAGCCAAGCACTAGGAAAGGCTATGGTTTGTTTGTTCTGGCGTCTTTCATATGGATTGAGTGGTCTGAAACCTCCTGGGTGTTATGAAGTCTGGGCTTAGGGAAGTTTGAGTTGCAAGTTCTTGGCAGTCATTCTTGAGTGGGACTTTTTCTCTTTGGAGGAAGCAGATTTTAAATGTCATGTCTCAAGTATATTCCTAAGAGATTTGATGGGAGCTGTTGCGGCAACCAAAAGGCATTAATTTTTGATGCTGGTACTCATTTCAAAACCCCATAACCCTTTTTCATTGTTGAATGCACACTGCAGTCCAGATGGTAAAGGACGGTTTCTAACAAGTCGAGTGGGTTGCCTTTTGTCCGTTCTATGAGTGACCCTCCCAGAAGTATTCCCCTGCATCGAAAGTGACTGAATCTCACTGATGCTGTTTCCATTAAGCTCCTTTTTTGCTTGTTTGTAATAGTTTTATTAGTTTCCTCTTTTTTGGTCTTAATTTTTGCCCCACCTTTTCTGTGAGGGTGCCTGCTTCCTTTTACAATAGTAGCTTTGAAAAGTTACCTTTCATTCTGAAGGAGTACAATCTTTCTTCCGTGGATTTTTAAATTTTTTTTTTTTAATGATTGAGATTTCGTTTTGTGGAGGGTTGCAGCTATTAAGGCAGGAAAACAAGTGTCCTGAAAGAGCTTAGAACTGGAGGTAGACGTTAAATGGGGTGAATCTCACGTGTCATGTTGTCCTTTGTATTTTCCGTGGGGTGGATGTGGTAAAGAGAGGCTCTGAGCTTTGTCTTCAGTTGACATGGAGGAGGGGAAATCCCATTCAGCCCCAGAGCTCTGACAGGAAGTGGTGGCCCACTGCCTTCAAACAGCACAAAAACTGTACATACGTACAACCTAATGCTTTGGAGTTGAAGTTAAGCTAGGAAAATAAGGTGAATGTTAACATCATTCTAGTGAAAAGTTCCACACACACCGATCACAAACATAGGCTTGGAGCGTCCACATCTCTGGCAGCAATATCTACCCCCCTCCAGCCATCACCCCTGTTTCCAGGTGATCTGAGGTTGCTGAGGGGAGAGTTGGTGGTCCATCTCCTCCCAGTCATAATTATTTCTTGAGGCACCTCAGTGTGGAAGTTTCCAGGGCTTTTCTGACTGCCACATCATTGCTGACAAAACTTGATAAGGTCTACGTCCCAGGAATTGTCCATTCCTTAATGGGCATTTCTTAATACATGGGGTTTGTGTGTGTGTGTGTGTGTGTGTGTGTGTGTGTGTTGGGAGATATGTATGGATGCCTGTTTCTTCCCATGGAGATACATTTACAGTCTTAATTTTGCTTCGTTAAAATTTAAGTAGTTTTAAAAAAGGACATCTGCCACCTCTAGACACTGTTTTGATAGGGGTTCTGCATTCATGAAAGGAAGGAGGCAATCAGTCATTTTGATTACAGAAACAGTTGTCGCACAGATGCTTTCTTCTTTCATGTATCTAAGGTTCTGGTATCTTCTCTGATGTCCCAGCTTCCCTCATTTCCTTTCTGCTCTTGGGGGTGGTAGAGGGTACAGTTTTTTCAACTGACCTGTTGGGACTCTTTTCATATATCAGTCAGATAATATTTAACTTTTGAGTAGGGATGTTTTATCCATTTGAAGTTGTAGGCCCAGTGTCTAGGACCAACAACCAACTAGCATTTCAGTTCAAACGAAAAACTCAAGAACTGAAAAAAAAAATTTTGATTGACTCCCCAAGCCCCTTACATGATCATTAATAACGATTAATTAAATGTATGTAAAATGTAGCATTAAGACAACTAGGAAACGGTAATACAGTAGCTCTGAATTATATTTCCTATGTGATGTGGGTACATTTTAATATTGATGCGAGGGTCATATCGATGTCTTGGAATGACCTGTACCGAACAAGGTGCTGGGAGAACAGAAAGAGAAAACCCAGCCCTGTCCTCTAACAGGACAGTCTAAGCTTCCTCCCTTAACTGTCTCTCCCCTGCCCTGCCCCCTTCTTCCTGTTAGGGTATTTCCTGAGTGGTTTTATTATTTAGTATAGTCATAGTTTGACAGCAGAGTCTTAGAAATTATCTACCTTATGCCCATGGCCCAGTTTTATAAGTAAGAAAACTGAGCTTAGGTTGATACTGTCAAGATCACACAGCTGATTGTAGAAGAGCCTCTAGTGAAACCCCAGATTCAAGTCTGGATCACTTTTCACGACTGAGCTGCTGCTATTTCTGATCAGTATGATCACCACCATAAATTCAAGTCACCATCTTTTCCAGGGAGGAATTCGATTTTGCACGTTTGCTTTTATGTGAGGAAAGTTAAGGTGTTCCCATTTGGAGTAGCTGTATCACTTTAGGGAAACAGTAAATGCTAATACAACTCAGAGTCCTATAGGAGTTTATATGGGCTAACTCGGCACGTTGTAACTGTCCTTTGCCCTTTCTATGTCTGTAGTTTCACGTTAAGAGATCAAAGTATCCTGCCATTAAAATTCCTTCCATGTGCAAAATAACTAATGACGTCATATTAATGTGTGCTGATAATTGTTGCAGCCTAGTGCCTAACATTTTATTCCCTAACATTTTTATTCCTTAACATTTTTTTCTTGGATTCACTTACTTTCGCTTAGGGGTTGGCAAACTATCGCCCACAGGCCAAATGTGGCCTGTGGCCTGCAGCCTGTTTTTGTGCAGTCCACAAGGGAAGAATGTTTTTTACATTTTTAAAGGGTTATTAAAAAGTAACACAAAACAAAGAATATGCAACAGACACCATATATGTCCCACAAAGCTTAAAAATATTTACTAACTGTTCCTTTACAGAAAGAGTTTGCTGACCCCAGCTTAAAATTAAAAACTGTTTTTGGTTGGTAGCAATTCAAAGTTTTTATCAAGACTGATTGACTGAAAAACAAACTTTGTCGTATTTACATTTTTATCCAAGATGATATCAACATTTGGCTGAGTATAATCCAGATACGTAGTGCAAGTAGATTTTAATTTTCATAGTTGTTTTCCATGGTTTCAACCTCTCAAACAAAAATATGTAAGGGACAGGCAACTTCAAATTGAACATTTTGTACATAAAGCCTTATTTTAATGTCACTGTGTTTTTTTTTCCTCTTGTGAGTGTCAGTATTTTATTTTGGCGTGGAAGACGGGAAGCTGGAAGATACACTGTATTTAAAATTTTCTTGGTTCCCCCTCACATTGTGGAAACCCCCTCCCCCCAGAGCTAATCTGTTCAAATACTTAAAAATTACAGCAGCAAAACAAAAGCACAGAAAAAAGAAAACCGGATAGAGAAGGTAGCCAGGCCAGTAGTGTCACTTGGTCTGGACGACTGAGGTGCTGGACAGGAGCTTCTGTTTCTGTTTTTTCTTTTCTTCCTCCTTTCTCTTCAGAGAGGGGATCTGGAGTAGCTGGCATGTCCAGTTTCGTGAATGCTGCTTCAATAGCTTGGCTGAAGGAATTCTGGAAACTGGGCACAGGAACACTGTCTGCGTTATCACTCTCCCCATCGCTGTCCACAGTGGCAGGAGGACCTAAGCTGTTTTCATCTTTCTTTGGAGCAGTTTTGGGCCACACATCTGCTTTTGCCTTTCCAATTCTCAGCATCTGGGCAAAGGAAGGGAAGGGAGAGTCTTCTTCCAGACTCCCAATGCAGAATGAAGAACTGCCCTGACCGGCGGTGGGTGACAGAGGGGTCCGCAGAAAGTCTGCTTGGGAACCTGGACTTCTGCTAAGAGGAGAAAGGGAGAGAGCCCCATGGCCCTTTCTTTCAAAGCTGTCGATAGACTTCCCATCTAGGTGATAGCTTTGAAAAGAACACTGTTTCAGGATTTTAATACTTGATCATAAAGGGTTAAACTCATCTCCTCAGTTAGTGTTCTAGCGAATGCAAAATGCCATTCCACAAATCAAGGATGGGAGTGGGAAACTGAGTCTTGGAGACAGACCTAGATGTGTCTTAAGAATAAGCGTACTTTAACAAAGAGCTTCACCAGCTGTTCTGCGTGGCAGCAAACCAGGGAGGAGGTTCTCTTGGCAACAGCACCAAGATTGTTTGGATCCTCTAAGAAAAGCTGGAGAGAGATAGGTTTGGATATTGTCTTAGAGGAAAATGTCTGGTCTTTGAAGACAAGGAAAAATTTAGCAGTTGATATTTTAGTGGAATCTGATAACTGAACCTGGAAGGAACCATGGAACCAGAAGTGGGAGACCAGGGAGCTGCCGACATGGCCTGAGGACATGGCTGGCTCTAGGTCAGATCTGCCTGCCTGCACACAGGACCGTTCTGGAGACCAGCACTCTGGTGTGTGTTAGAATGACTACGTGGGAAAATTCGGCAGGAAAGAGTTTTCATAGCAGGATGAGAAGAGGGTGGGAGTGGGGAATGGGGAAGTAACTGTTAGCTGGTGAGTGATATCATGGAACATAACATAATATGGATCTTCTGAAATTTAAGTAGCCGATGTAGCGGCTTGGTTCATGTTTGGTGTTAGGGAGATTGCATGGTCAATTAAGAGCAATAGGTCTGGGGTCAGATCAGGGTTCATGTCCTGACATCTGCCGTTCCTTCATCTCTGGCCTTTAGTGAGTCAGTTGTCCTTCTAGGGCCTTCGTTCCTTTATCTGTACTAGAGTATACTAATACTATACCAACTTTTCAGCGTTGATGTGAGTTCCCTAGGGCAGGAATCAAATCTTATTCACCTTTTAAGTCTCCAAGGCCAATCAATTGGATGAATGAATTATGAAAGCACTATATGAGCTATAAAGCATTGCTTAAATTTTAGTTGTTATCTTTCATAATATTCTAGATAACTAGACGATGTCTGAGGCAAGATTAAAAGTGCTTAATTTGAATTCTTAATACAAGAATGGTATTTCCCCCACTGTAAAATGCTGTCTTTCTATAATCAGTTTTAAAGGGATATTTTAGACTCTGAAAGATATTTCACTTGTCTTTCGGTCTCCATAATAAACTGTTTAACACCCTGCTTCCAACCCCCCACTAACATAAATACCAAATAGAAAATGAGTGAAATCACTGGGTTTGCTTTAGAAGAGCCATTTCAGCTTTGTCTTTGCCCATTAGCTTCAAACAATGCAACAGATGCCTATTAACAGTTTCATGCCCGGTTTTAATTAGCAGATGGAGCTATGTTTGTGTCTGTGTTCTGCCCAGCACTGTTTGAGTGACAGGGTAGTGAGTGGTTTGGAATTGGGCTGGGCGTTTGGGTTGAATAAAGCCAAATTCTATTTTTAAAAAGATGAATATAAACATTTATTATATAGAACCGCTTGTGTATCTCAGTGAAACAGCATAGTGTCTAGAGTAAAACTAATGTTTGCAGTTATGTTTTCTGCTCTTATTATCCTTTAGAAATTACATAATATGGAAAAATACGTTTTTATGACTTAAATGAAGGTTTTTGGGTAGTCTTGAAACTATCATGTAGTGGCTTTCTCTGAAGATCTGTTTCAGTATTTTGGTATAGTGGGTTGAGGACTATGCAAAGCTGGGATGAAATGGGCTTCAGCATGAATGTCGATGCTGATGGGTTGGTAGCTGCCTCCCAGCATGCTGTGTTGTATAGAGTTCTGAGGTCCTGTCTGAGCTCAGCAAGACCGAGGGCTGTGAAAGATTCCTGATGTGGGCCATGGGCAATGGACGGAGAGAGTGGATGGCAACATCCTACATATTTGCTATCTATTTTCTTTTTCTTTTCTTTCTTTTCTTTCTTTTTTTTGGCTGTGTCAGTCTCAGTCGCGGCACACGGGATCTTCGTTGAGGCATGCGGGATCTTTCACGAGGCATGCAGGATCTTTTGTTGCAGCGCTCTGGCTTCTCTCTAGTTGTGGTGCACGGGCTTAGTTGCCCTGCAACATGTGGGATCTTAGTTCCCTGACCAGGGATCGAACCCGTGTCCCCTGCGTTGGAAGGCAGATTCTTTACCACTCGACCACCAGGGAAGTCCCTGCTGCCTGTTTTCTAAAGTGAATATGTAGTATCTGCTGTCCAGTGTGTCATGGTTAAATTTCAGTATTAAAACATCATCTGTCAATGACTATTACATATATATATATATATATATATGTTTTTTTAAAATAAATTTATTTATTTTGGGCTACATTGGGTCTTTGTTGTGGTGCATGGGCTTCTTATTGGGGTGGCTTCTCTTGTTGCGGAGCACCAGCTCTAGGCATGCGGGCTTCAGTAGTTGTGGCACACGGGCTCAGTAGTTGTGGCTCGTGGGCTCTAGAGCGTGGGCTGTAGAGCACAGGCTCAGTAGTTGTGGCGCACGGGCTTAGTTGCTCTGCAGCATGTGGGATCTTCCCGGACCAGTGTCCCCTGCACTGGCAGGTGTATTCTTAACCACTGAGCCACCAGGGAAGTCCTTATTGGATACATTGTGTCTGGAGATGTGTCCTTTTCCTGTGTTCAGTTTTGACTTTTGGGATTTTCCTTATTTTGCGTTGAATTATTAAGAACCTTAAAGGAAGTAGGTGCCTGATTGTCCTTAGAGGAAGAAATGTCTGCACTGCTTTTTTTTTTAAAGTTACTTAGTTACTTAGGACTTCCTTAGGGAAGCCACATAAAGTGATGGAAACAACTTGGAACCAGTTCTTGCAGCACTGTGACAAAGTATTTTCTTGCTGTCTTGCCTGTAGCATTCAGCATCAATTTAATTAGGCACTTTGGTATTTACCTGTTGCTGAAACTTTGGACATTTTCCAAGGAGCTCTCATCTTCCTCAGCCCAGAATTTTAATTCTTGGCTCCCAGGAGAAAGTGCGAAAGCTCTGCATGTCCTCATGTTCATCAGATTAGGTTTGCTGTCACTAAGACAGGCTGGATGACAGTGCTGCTTGCAGTCCCATGAGGCATTGCAGATTTCAGAGCACTTAGCAGAAGCTCGGTTAGGTATGGAATCCCACCTCATCATGATAAAAACCAACCACAAAGTCGTCAAGCAGTATGTCGTGTTTCACGGCTTCCTGCTGGCAAAGTTGGGACTGGCGTGACTTCCCCACATCATGTCGTAATTTTTGAGGGAAGAACTTGGCAGTAATTCGTTTAATAATTCATAGATATTTTCCTGATGTAT